GTTATATATATATATATATATATATATATATATAAAGGAAGGTCATTATGAGCACCTGCAAACGTAAAATAAAAACATCCTCATCATGTACATATCAGCTTCCGACTATTACATGTACATTTTTGTTTCCGTGCGTGTTACTGTGATATATATATATATATATATACATCCGGATGCATATGATAGATGGACTTTCAGGAAGTCTGTCGTGCTGCATTGCAGTTGCAACACTCACATCAATAATACCTTTGCTAATTTCCATACTGAAATAGATCGTTATGTGGCGGCAGTACTGTGGTGATAAACTATCGCCTTGTACGTCATCCTTGATGATACTGTAGTGATAAACCATCGCCTTCTACGTCGTCCTTGATGATGCACGCAACTGGAGCTACTCCATTTATCCCATTCCAATTTTTCCTAGGAAAACAAACATATTAAGCTGTAGCTGGGATTGAGATTTTCAGGGTGGCAAAGATATGGTGACATAAAAAACACGACCACAGTACAGAAATTTGTGGTCCTTGACATGACTGGTGATGTCGAGGTGTTGTGTGGTTGGGTGAGTATGCGTGTTGTGGGTAATGTGGTTCGGGAATGGCGTTTTAAGGACTAATTGATGTTTTACTTCTTTGCTTGATGCCTTTTCATTAAGATAAAGAACATGGCATACAGAAGAGAGAGTATGCGAGATGACAGCGACATCTTTCGCAATGTTCGCAATATCTTCACTTCGTTGAATGATAAATTGTAAGCTTTTGCTTTGTTATAACAGTAATAAATGCTCATTAACTCTTAGGCTGTAATTTGGAAACTAACAGCGGTCACCAAAACCTAAATCAAAAAGTCGTGGTGACCGTGCAAACAATGCCTGTCTGTGATGATACTGATTATCATCTGGAATCTCTTTGATCTCATTCTCTTTCGTGTTTAGTGAAACAAAATGTAATTCAGCTTCGAAATATTTTTCTGTTCATGGTTCTGTTAACATGTTCGTAGTTAATTATGTGTATTACCATCATCACCAACCCCTTTGTTTAGAGAGAAGGACGTGCAGGAGCATCTGCGGGCTGTTTATGGAACTTTGGCATTGGGATTAATCGCTGCAACCTTTGGAGCTCTGCTCCATTTGTTCATCGATTTCCTTCATGATAACTTTTTCCTTTTGTTTGGTTCCGTTCTATTAATGGTAGCAATATTAAAGACCCCACATACTGTTTATAACGAACGTAAACGATTTGGATATTTCATCGCTTTTTGCGCTCTTTCTGGTACGTTTTCTTTTAATATTTTAGATAGAATTTATTAATAAACAATGCTCAATTATTGAAACTCATTTTGCATTCCATTCGGACAAATATGTACTGGTTTTCAAAATTATTTTAGGTGTGGGTTCCGGTCCAGTTATTGAAAAAGCTTTAGTGGTTGATCCGTCCACTATCCTCACCGCATTCCTAGCTGCTGCGGTCGTTTTCAGCTGTTTCACAATGGCGGCGTTGTATGCACCTTCCACAAAGTTTCTACACCTTGGAGGTTTTCTGCATCATTTACTTGTTTTTTTGAATTGATATGGAGGGGAATATAGGTATTTTGCATGTTCGTCAAACAATTTATGCAAAAGTGAACTATTAATGTTTTTTCTATTGCAGGAATTATTACTTCGGGACTATTTTTCATCATGATGACGGCGGTATTCTCACATTCTGCGCTTATGCATACCACTTGCTTTTGGTTAGCGTTTGTGATTAATTGCACTCTGGTACTTTACGATACGCAACTAATTTGTGAAAAGCGTCGTCGTGGTGACACGGATTATATACTTCACACTATCGAAATTTTCATCGATTTCATAAACCTTTTCCGCTATATACTTGCTATCCTCAGTGAGAAAAAGGTATGGTTCTTTGTTCATCGTTATGTCTTTCTTCAATTAGAAATTGAAGCTAGAATTTCATCCTAATTTTTTATTTCCTTGGAAAATATATCACTCTACACTGCTTCTGTTAAAACGTGAATTACGGGGTTTTGATAATTCCCCTCATCTTCTCCAATTCCGCTTTCCTCTCTTATTTTAGGAAGACCCTAGAAGTTGAACTTACTAACTTTATTTTTCGTAGTCTATTTTTTATGGCATATTTATAGATGACCTCCAGAGATACGTGATAGATAGGAGCAGAGCAGTTAATTTATTATAGTTATTTTTTTAATTTTCGTTTTTTTTAGGAGAGAACGAATCGTAAAAGAAACGACTAGAAAGACAGCAAGAACAGTTCTGCCTATCTGATTTTCCTATTATTCGCTTTTTTTCCTGTCTTTTGCAGCGTTCTTTTGATTTGTATTCAGTAAAATTTATCCACTATGTACTTCACTGCACAATTAACATAGAATTGAAAAGTGTCGTCACTGTATTTTTTTTAGTGGTTGAAAGACAGAGAATGCAGTGCTTCATTTTTATCTGCAATACCTCTTAGAGTAGACCTCGTAACTCTGTAAATATAAGGACTGTATTACATCGGGGAAGTTTCATCTTCGTAGTTGTGTGGATGATGAAGCATTTGCACTTGTTCGGAGACCCATCGCTCCAACTTTCAAAGATAGCGACACTTGTAGTTAATCCTGCAACACTATTACAAACTACATTATGTTTCGTTCTTCAGAAGAGATTGGAGGGTGTGATGTTCTCGGCAGATCCTGGTCGAGAGGTTGTTTCTGGGAAGTGTGACGAAGGTTTATATGATCGTATCTTCTCTCGGAATTCTGGGGTTGGGACATTGTGGTGCGGATGTCCCATGATTGCATATAGTGAGAAAGGGGAAAGGTGTATATGAATAAGTTACAACTGAATCCAATAGGAACCTGCAAAAGTGTTGATGATCTTTCGATTCTGGCTGTTATTAGATGTACCCTCTAAACGATTATTATTTTTCCTTCCATTGCTACTGCCGTTTTAGACTAAATAATAAGAGTTACTGATTAGTTACGGTTGTAGTTAATGGTTAATATGGTTAATTATTATGGGTAAAAGACGTGAAGAAAACGGAAGAATGGATTCAGGTGATGATTCGTCGCAAGATGGCGATTTTTGTTCCGTTGTATTGTCGGTAAGCTATGCAACATTCTGTTTATGTCAAGACATTCCAATTATGACCTGTGACGAATAGTTTTCGGGTCTCGGAGGGGTGATTTATTAATTCATGGTTTGTTGAAATGAAAATTGGACTGTTCGATTGGTAATACTTTCAGGCTGTTGGAATGATGCCTAGCGGTAGCTCTTCCCTCGGTTTAATTCAGAATAAAATTAGACATGCTGACCGGTTTTGGGTGCTTCCTGGAGAAAAGATACAAATTGAGGGTATATTGATTATTTGATTTTTTTCCTAGCTGCACTATGTCAAGAACTGTGTCTCCGGTATTTGTTTTATTAATGTGCTTAATCTATAGAATTCCGGTGAAGAGTATCCATAAAATCCCAATGAAATAATTCACCAGTTGAACGAAAGTCTGTAAACGAATTATCCATCTACTTGGCTTCTCTGATGGATTTATTTATAGATAGTAACGAATCACCAACTTTTTGAAAATAACGGTGTTGTTGACACATTAATTTTAAAGTGACAAAATTTTTTCTAGTCATATCCTTCATATTTATTTGCAGAGACGAACATTGGTTACATGTCACCTATAGGCAAAGTGAACGGTAGGGTGCTTGTCACTAATTATCGGCTACGTTTTGAAGCGAAATCAACCTCCGAAAATCGACACAGCAAGGTTTATTTTATTTTATTTTATTTTTTTTTGTTTAGACATTTCAAACAGTGGGTGCATTGTTGTCTAATATGAATATTTATACTTGGTTAATGGTGATGCAAAGTTTTTTCAGTGTTGTCAGTTTGATATACCTCTGGGATGCATCTCACGGGTTGAAAAGGTTGGTTACTCAACGGTAAGTCGTGGCGAGGATTCTTACGGACTGGAGATCACTTGCAAGGTAACGACTTTTTTTGAAGTCTGTTAATCCTATCAGTATTCATCATTGTTTATATGTTTTTTTGCAGGATATACGCAATATAAGGTTTACTCACCAGCAAACGAATCATAGTAGACGCCCACTTTACGAAAGCTTACAGCGATTCGCTTTCCCGGTCACCAATAAAGCTGTAAGTTACTCTCTTGGAATTCTTCATTCAAAAGACGATGCTCTTGTCCTCTTAATTACTGTTGTCATTCAATCCTTTTTTATTATCTTTTATACCATTAGGGAATTAAAAATTAGTGATACATCATTTTCGTCTCCTTGCTTAACCTAGATTATTCTGTTTATGCTGTCGAGTTTATTAGTATATGCACAATGTATGCATATGGAGTGTATGCACTCCATGTAATCAGATCTTTTGGTTTTTTGTTTACGACAAAAAACAACTGTGAAATGATTTGAAGTTTTTTAAGAATGAATTATTTATCTAACTCATCTGTTATTTGGATTCTTGATTACAGTCCTTCTTTGCTACATCTTTCAAGCCTGACTGGACTTTTGATGGTTGGAACATTTATGATACTGTCCGAGAACTGAATCGAATGGTAGCATATTTGTTCTGTATATTTTCATGATTGCACTTATTAATACCTCATGTTGGAAAAATATTGTAATTGCACACCTTATTTTGGTACACAAAAGCTCTGAAGAGAAATAGATGTGTTGAGTATTACAGAACGTACCCAACGAAACTTGGCGAATCACCAAGATAAATGATCGATATGACTTCGCCGATTCTTATCCTGCTTTGGTAAATTTGTGAAATGTAATCTTCGGGTTCTTATAGTAGGATCTCTTATTATAAATGATTATACTACTTGTCGTATTTCGAAAAAGGGGAAGATAATGTAAACTATCCACTTGTGTATCGGTCGTTCTATTTCAGTTAGCGGTACCAACGACAGCTGTGGTAGAAGGTGAAGATTTTTTGCAAAAAGTTGGTGAATTCCGAAGTAAACAGAGGATACCTGTAAGTAATTGAATTCATATCTAAATCATTTTGGCATGTACTTTGGTAACATGTATCCACGTGTATCCCATTAACGGAACATTTCCGGGACAGGTCTTGTCATGGTTGCATCCCACTTCTCAAGCATCAATAACACGATCGTCACAACCAATGGTTGGAGTTACATCTCGAAAATCTGCGGAAGATGAACGGTTTTATATTTAATCTTATAATGCACTTATAAGTGAACCGGTTGTATGAGAGCGGTTCAAAACATAGCTGGGGAGAATTTCCCAGTAGTTCTGAATTTCTAACATGCCCATTTATAATTGGCTGTGTGAGTTGAAATTTATTTTCAGATACCTACAGATGATCGTCGAAGCAAATGCCCATGCGCACCAGCTACTTATATTTGATGCTCGTCCGGCCGTCAATGCGAAAGTCAATAAGGTGCTTTTTTTTCCTACATTACTTCCAGAACCAGTCATTTCATTTGTAGTAGAAATGTAACAGATATCTTGCTTGGTGACTTTACACTTTTAATTTCTGAATATCCATAGAAGAAATCATCTTATCCTTTTTTTAGAAAGAAATGCGAAGCAAGCTATAATTTTTAGGCAAAAGGTGGTGGTTTTGAAGATTCATACACTAACTGCCGATTGATATTTCTGGATATACAAAACATTCATGTAGTTCGAGAATCGTAAGTTTATTTAGTGCTTTGCTGCTTCTTTGTCCTTATATCTGCTCTTTGTTCACTTAAATTGCGGGACTCTTTTTATGTTTCGATGTGCAGAGACACTTGCTTTATGATCTTGGAAGTGATCATTCAATCTCTTTCGAAAATCTTTTTTCATTTGGTGTGACTTTAATTAGGGTATTTTTAAAATTTAAATAGCTGGGTTTCATGTGCGCACAATAAAACCTATAAGGAGCAGTAACCAAAGTGACACTGCTCTAATACATATGAAGATATTGCTTTTGGAGCAGTTAATCATCGGACTGCACAATACACTTTATAAGTGGACTGATTTATCAGTTTAATTCTCTAAAAAGGTTCTTATAAAGCTGTCATACATAACCGGTATATTTAGTTAATAATGAGTTGTATTACTATTAAAAATGCTAAAGGATATTTTGAGAAATTTAATAAATTAAAATGATCGTAAAAGTTGATACAGCCAAGAGTTGTTACAAAAATTTCTGTATGCTATAAGCCAATCCTTTGTATTGAAGTTGCGATTCAAAATTTCAAAATAAAAAAGTCAATGTGCAGAGATAATGGAGAGCTCCTATTGTAGGCTGCGAAAATTGAAAGATGTATCATTTCCTCGTGTTGATGAAAAGAACTGGTTTCGTATGTTGGATGAAACGAAATGGTTGAACCACATCCAGGTTCGTCTACCTCTTTCATTTTGCGAACAATTGAGATGATGCTATGGCAGCTGCTTTTTGAATTATTCTTTCACCGTGCTTTCATGGAATTTTTTTTTATCGTAATGTCAAAAGATTGCTTGGTGCTAAGTTACTTTATGCCATTTTTTAGTAGCATTTTTAAATTGAATTTATGGCTTTGTAATCGCCACAATTATGTATATGCTATGTAACTTCTTCTCAACTATATTTCCCCGGTGATAATCTGCTAAGTAACAATAATTGAACAGTATAAGAGAGAGTTAGGTTGGAACATTGTGAGATGCATGGAAATGCTGTTCTGCAGACAGTTCTGGATGGTGCAACCCAAATTGCTCGCGAAGTAGAGGATAACAAGGCATCTGTGCTGGTTCACTGTAGTGACGGCTGGGACAGAACTGCCCAGGTATGCCTTTAGTTTATTACTTCTTTGTAAAATAATTTTGTTAAATACTGATTGTACTGACATGATTTGTTTAGTTGACTTCGTTGGCGATGCTGGAGCTAGATCCATATTATCGAACTATTAAAGGATTTGCAGTACTGGTGGAGAAGGAATGGTGCAGTTTCGGCCATAAATTCGCCCATGTATGTTAAATCGTAAAGAATTTTTTTTCTATCTTTATTCTTCCCGAAAAACAACATTCTTCCGTGATTAATAAGTGAGCAGTGCGCATTGCAGCGTGTGGGACATGGAGAAGACAAACATAGTGATAACGAGAGATCTCCTATATTTGTACAGTTCATTGACTGTGTGTGGCAAATCATGAATCAGGTAAGGAAGCCAAGCTACAGCTGCTATTTTGATTCAAGGACAGACTTCCTGCACTTTTTTCATACTGAAGTTTTCTTCTGTGAATTCATAATGCCAGCAGAAGATAATGTGCTAGTTCTCTTCACTGTTTTCTTGTTTCTTAGTCTAGTTATGTTCGCTTTTGATAAGTCATGCCGTTTCATCTTATTGATATTGTTTTCCATTTGATTTCCGTATAACTTTTCTACATATTTTCTTACATCATTTAGTTTCCATACGCCTTCGAATTCAATTCGTCATTCCTGATAACATTACTGGATGAGTTATATTCTTGTCGTTTTGGGACATTCTTATACAACAGTGAGAAGCAACGACATCGCGATCAAGTGAGACTTTCGCTTAAAAAAGTCTCATGTTCTTTATTCTCAATTATTGGTATTCAAATCATTGCGTGATGGAGCGCAATGTATTGACAACTCGAATTGCAGCATTCGTTGACTACTCAGTCAAGTTCTTTCAGCATGTAAAGGAAAACACAGTATCGCTATGGTCTTACATTATTACTGAAAAAAGGCGCTTTCTCAATCCGTTCTACAATCAGTACCCTAGATTTGTTGATGTGTTGCGTCCCAACACCCGTTTAATGTGTATCAAAGTCTGGAAAGATTATTATTTTCGTTATAATCCAGTAATCGTTGCACAGGATCATATGGTAATGCATTCATTTCTCTTGACTTGAAATTTTATTTAACCGCCCTACTTTATTAAAGTTCCTTTGAAGCCTTCTAGTCCTTTCTAACTGAACTACAGAAATATTCACTCTTTCAATAGTATATTCACTCTTTGAATTCATTAATTTGCTCAGGTGCTATGTTAATAATCCCTTTGGAGCTTTGCTTCTGATCTGCTGAGCATTACCTCTCCGCTCAAATATCCTGCCAGTTGTTCATTTTTCAGATATTTCGCCTCTTGTTTTTTGGAAAAAATTGATTTAAAAATTCGGTTCATTCGCAAGTGCAAAATAGGAGAAGATAGAAAAAATGAAACTATTTACTGTTGATGCTTATGGTTGGTTTTCTGCCATTCACTAATCAAAATAGTTCATTTCAGGATATTGAAGCTCTTATGAACGAGAAGATCTTACAAAAAGTTGAGGTTTTGAAGGCAGAAGTGATTATGCATGAACAGACTCTTAGTAAAACTGTTTCGAATTCAGAGTTTAGGTAGTATATTGTCTTATTATTTGAGATGAAGTAGTAAGGTGGACTCAGGAGGAGATGGTAGTGTATTTCCAGAGAGAGTATATTAGAGAAAAAAAAGTACAACATTTAAAGAAGGTTGGAGTGTATTCAAAGATCAGTGGAAGAGGGCTGCTTTCGAAAAATGTCAATTTTAGTGGTTACTTAGAAGGACAAAACCAAAACCGCAATATTTCTCTCATTTCTTTTAATTTTTTTGTAAAACAGCGTGCGCTAATTTATGCCATTTTTGTGCTCAGTTGTATTATCAGATGTCATGTGATTTGATTGGAAAAGAAAAATCCAAATCAATGTTAAGATGCTGTAAAATAAAAAAAATTTTTAAAAAGTGGGAACCACGGAACTTTGAATTTTTAATAAATGTTTCTCGGATACAAACTTTGTCACTAGGCTTCGAACTTGCTAATAAATCGTAAAAACTTCAGGAATACGGTATCCTTCGATATTCAAAACGAAAGATTCCTTAATACTTTGGCCTTCATAATATATGTCCAATATATTTTGAAAAGCCAGCTGTTTTTGTGTCTGTCAATGTGCAACAGTTTGATTAGGGGATCAGATTCTATCATGTGTGACGGTGTAACCCGTTGTACTGTCGTATAACAGTTTCTTCTGCACTATCGATTTTGGTCAGTTGAGA